AATCCAGTTGCCAATGCAGCGATACACGGTCTAAATGTTCGTGCGAGTTTAGTTCAATCAATGAGATGAAGCTAACCGTTGATTAATGAGATGAAAATGGCTGTTAATTAATGAGATGAAGCTAAGTGTTAATTAATGAGATGAAGCTAATCGAAAGTGAACCTTTTTATGCACACATTAGTTCAGAACGTGAATTCGAAAAGTGAAACGCTACCTGATTCTATCAAGCGCCCTCATCGCAACGACGAAACCTTCTCCTTGCGGACCAACGACATTATCATCCGAAACACGAACATTTTCAAACGTAATACCACGAATATCGGATGCATGCTGTCCCAAATTCATTTGCTGCAAACTGCTTTATTCTTTCGCATCTCATCATGAGTGCAACAAAAGTGCCAATTCTCCTTGAACAAACCCTCTTTCCTTTCGTTATTCCGCTCGCATCTGCATCAATGACGAATGCAGTAAACGCTTTCGTTGGTGGTGCTGTTGGGCTGGCATCACTACGGCAAAGAACGAAATACCAATTTGCATGATCACCGTTTGAGACCCACATCTTCGAACCGTTGATTACCCATTCATCTCCACTCTTCTCACATATCGTTTCTATTCTCGTTAAATCTGAGCCTGCCTGCGGTTCAAAGACCGCAAACGCCTGAAATCTCGTTTCACTAAAAAAATATAATAAAAGAACCATGCTTCACTGTTGCGATCCAATACAACTCCGAATATTGATATCGTCTGAATCAATTCCATCCTTTCAGCGTATTTCAACGGCATTCCATGAAATGGCGTAGTACTTGTTATCGAACATAAAAGTAAAATTTGGTTCATTTCCGTTGATACTGAGTGCGTATCAAAATTATGCTTATAGATATCCATTTGATGTAACATCTTTGTATGAAGCATTGCAGTTGTAGACGGGATTACGAATGAAAATGAATGCATAAATAGCCTGAGAGTGTCAAAAAATTAAGTGCGAAGGACTCACGCCAAGGATTGCTTCCTGAGTCATTCTGCCCAGATAGTTCTTTCTAATTTTTTCATTTCCAGCGATTTTCAGCGTTGATATAGCAAGATCGTTGCTCATAAATATATTTCCAATGCCGGTACATCCATATCCAAATTCTTCATCAATTAACGTGCCCCCTAGCGGTCCCAGCTCAGAACCACCTACATAGCGTCAGTTGAAAGTAGGCGAAAAGTGTCTTTTTCCTCAGTAATAATGCTTGATAGATGGTGATTATGAAAATTATTCTTAATCATTTTTTGTCACGTTCTCCTCGAAAAGATGCTGGATTGTATGCCTTTCGCACTAAAAGTAAGAGCATTCCTTGTGGAAGATACTTCGAAACAATTAACATTTCATAATGCATTATTGTTAACATAAGCTGAATGGTATCTCCAAGGAAACTGAATCAATCCAGCAAACACTACCGTATTCCTTCGTTATACCAGGATTCATAAGTCCCTCTGCATGCGCTTTCTTGACAATATCCCACGGAAATTCGCCAGTTTCGTCATGATAAGCAGCCTTTGGCATAACTTCTTCTCGGCAGAATTTCCGTGCTTTCTTTCGCAACTCTTTCAGACCATCACATAAACCTGAATTGGGTAGTTACCACGCTAAAAGTTGACAGTTTCATTTTATCATCATTATGAATGACGAAGGAAACTTACGAAAGGATATTCCCGTTTCGCTGATTGGAAGTTGGGTGTGACAGAAAGATCTTGATAAGAAGTTGGATGTGTTTAGGAAGTTGCGAGAAAACATCTTTTCTTTTTACCACCTATAATATGATCAATGCATGCTGATCAATGATTTTGTGCGGCAGTAAACCGACCACACGTGTATAAACTAATATTTTTGGCTTATTTGCGATTATTCTCGTGAGAAATTAACCAAAATGACTTATTTTAACGTAATAATACCGACTTTATTCCATTACAATGGACTGTTAATAAGTACAACTGACGAAGAGAATATTTTATTCGCAAATCCAAATTAACTGTCAACATTCACGAAGTACCGTCACATGAAAACAATTCAAATTATATCATTTGAAAAGATTGGGTGAATCAACGCCATATTCGGTTGTTCCTGATGACTATGGAATATTGCTTCGAAAATGCGATACTATCAATGGAACACGTTTAAAATTGTGTTCCGTTCTCATGCCCTGCATGAGAACGGAACACATCTAGGCGATTTAAACTCGTGTGATGTGGTTCGAGAAACTAATATATCAATCAACGAAGGAATTCTTTAATTAACTACGGATTCTATTTCGCACCCATCCCCAACTTCAGTGCTAAAATGTTCCATTTAATTGCTATCATTGAAGGAAAATTGCATTTATATATTACAAATGCAGAAATCCCATCCAAAATTTTCCGTAAAAGGATTCTTCAACTTCGTCTTTATAGTTTCATTTGTCGAATTACTTCAGTCTCTAAAACTAAGCCTGTTTCAGACGGATTTTGGATTCACTTAAAATAGCGATCATGGAATAAAATTCGATACAGAAGTTTACTACGTGAATTGCAAACTTCAAAGTACTAAAGGAACGTATGCAATATACCTATAGGACGAAACAATGGAAAAAGTAAACACAACTGGAATGAATTGGAAAACAGATCATCTTAAATGCAGCTGTTCTTTACAGCAAAAATATCGAAAGTAATGATGTTTTCTGTGGTACGGAGGAAAAAGTGCAGGATGTTTTGAATGGATCTCTAATACTCAGAGTTATTGCACGAATAGATTCAGCACCTGCTCTTATACTGCACTGTATTTTTATTAAGTGTTCGGCAAAATCATTGCTTTATCGGTATCAATAAATCGATAGTCGTTCACACAATTCGATAGCATTTCACAACAGAAATGTATGGAAAACGTTCAGAACTGAGTGTGAAGAAGTACAAAATCAACGATCATCTTCTCTTCAAGCACACCTTCGAATTCATCACGTTGTTATCATTATTCAATGAATATCTTGCGTCTTTCAACATCGAACAGGCTGCATTAGTAACCATATGATTTTAAAACGCTCTGATTACAATATTTCTCAGACTGGAAACTTGGAGGACGCGAGCTTTGCTAATTTTTGGAGAGGGTGTCTAATCAAGAGATGAAACGGTCCACTTAAGGAAGCTACAGATGAAACGAGTTTTTTTTCGAAGGGGAACGACTTAAGTAAATAAAATAAATACAGTTGAATATATCAACAAAAAGAAGTGATTGAGCACAATCAAACAACACCATCGATCAAAATCACTCTTTGCAGTCTTGAACAAATGGTAAGTGGACCATTTATGGCATTGAAGAGGATCCGGTCTGTTTTACTCGATTAATCAATTGTCTTGAAATTACGACACGTTGTATTTGACTGGTTCCCTCGTAAATTTGGAAAATTTTTGCATCACGCATCAACTTCTCGACTGGATATTCACTATTGAAACCATTTCCTGGAATAACATTTCATAAACACACTACTCCTAAAAGAAAGTTTCCACCACTTTTTTTTTTCATTTTTCCATCGAAAAACAGTTTGTTTGTTTTACTTGTGAGGAAATTGAGGATATGAATTGAGAGAATAGGTAAAAGGCATGAATATACAATATTTCATCAAGGTTCAAAAGCAATTATCCATCAACAAAGTGGCGATAATCAAAGCGAAATATCATTACATTAAGGCTTTGATTCACACAGTGCCGAGGTGTCTATTGAATGAACAGATGTTTGAGTAAATTGTAACAGCCAACTATGAAGATTCAAGAAAGAAATTTAAGTCGATACCCCCAAATATTTGTACAGCATTTGTAGCGGCAAGATTAGCTGTATCAGCAGCGAAGCACTTCGCCATCGATGAATAGTACGAAGTTGTGGCACCTCTAACAACCTCCCATGCACTACGATAGGTTATAAGTCGCGATAACTCCAGGTTCATTGCCATATCAGCTAGCATGAACGATACAGCCTTCAATCAGTAAATGTGTTTGCAATGTGCAGCATCATTGATGGTTGAACGTAAGTTATGATGAACTCAGAAACAACATTCAGTCAACGTATAACATTCATCACACTTCCTTGAAACTTTTCCTCATCATATCGATAACAAACATTGCTCAATTGGAGATTCAAAGACGGTGTGAGTCTTTCAAAGAAGAATAAATTAGAGCAAAACATTAATTCCTTCTATCACTGCACTGAATCAATGAAATTGGGCAGCATTACACTCCCATCGAATTGCTGAACGATCCAATCATCGGAGGCAACATTCGTGGTTGATCAGTGACACAAGATTGAGACTGAGGGACATAAACGAAAATTGCAAATAAAACCTGGTGATGTGCTATCGGCTGACCGAAAGTCTTCCTCTCAAGTGCATATTTAGTAGCCTCATCGAGACATCGAGCTGCCAAGCCAGTTGCTAATCCCGCAACCATAGGCCTTAATAATTCGTAGAAATGAAATGCAGAAGCACACAAATTCGATATAAAATACTTATATACTGTTTCAAAATGAGTGTCAGAAGTAAAATGAAGAGTGCGTAGGATAAATCACTGAAAGTTTTTAGGGAATAACTCAAGTTTTTATGACTAATTCGCATATTGCGTTTGATGTTGAATTGTGAGTTGAGCTTTTCTTGAGTGCTCATCTTCATTCAAGAAGGAACAACCTCGTTTTGTCAAACGTTTTCATCGCAATTTTGAAGCCTTCTCCGGGAGCACCGATCATATTTTTGGCTGGTACTCGAACATCTTCGAATGTTATGGCACGTGTGTCGGATGCACGTTGACCCATATTTAGTTCCTGTAAAAAACTTTCGTATAACGATCGATCAGCTAGGTGATATCAGCTAGACAGACTCAGTGAAATACACCCAAATCGAGAGATGTATTCTGATGCATTCAATTACGAACATTTGATTACGCGGGGTCTTACTTCAGTTTCACGACTAAGCCAATGTTCGGCTGAGACTTAGATTCAGGCCTAGACGGATAATCGAATGTCGATCAAAACATGCGTGATGAAAAGCTACGTAACCGCTTTTATAGACTGAACCGTAGGAAATGAAGGGGATATGCCATAAAGGCTGCGTGATCAACAAAAGTTGAAAGCAGTCAATTCGAATCACCTTTTTTCCTCTGCTCAGTCCAGGTGCATCGCCATCAACGACGAATGCAGTGAATGCTTTACCAGCCGAGGCTTTCGGGTCGGGATCACTTCTTGTTAGTACAAAGAACCAATCCGCATAACCGCCGTTCGTGATCCACATCTTGGTACCGTTTATGATATATTCATCACCCTTCTTCTCACTTTTCGTCCTTGTCGCTGACACATCTGATCCAGCGCCAGGTTCGGTCACACAGTATGACTGAACCATTTATATTGTATTTATACAGTTACCTGTTGATAGCGAGCATAATATCACGTTGGTATGTGGGGATGCAGATGCCGTAACGTAACGAAATTTGTTTGATGCCGTAACGTAACGAAATTTGTCTCTTTTAACTGCTCTCAAAAAGAACCTGTTGAGAATGAGAAACAACTGTTCTCCAAACCAAAATCAACCCTTGTCAGACAGCACAGCTTTAACTGTACCTCTAGCATTTTTGACTTACCAGAACTTTTTGATGGAAGTCATGGAAAACTGAAATTCCATAACATTCTATATTTCAGACCTAGATAACCCATTTCAAATTCCTTTAGAATCATTCCATTCGCTCTCGAGATATGGTCGCGGAATTTTTCTAACACCCTTAAAAGACCGTACAGGTACTTACAATTGTGCCTTGATGTGTTTTGCATGGAGCTTCTCATAACAAATTATTTGAGATTAGTGGATGATTATTATCAGATATTAGTTGTGAAAGCTGCACTCAAATTTCTGTGAGGCAAAGTAAATATCCAGATTATTTGGCGCTATGATGCGCAAAACGCTTGCAATTGGGTATGCTTACATCTTGATATCCTGTTTATGAAATGTTCGCTGTGAGTACACTCTTTTACGTAAAATAATGACAGCTAATAGCTGCACATTTCTAGTTAACAATTTTCAGCGTTCTGTTTATTCTTCACACCAAAAGAGTAACACTTTGTATTATTTGCTGCAGCACCTAAGTAAAGCTTTACCCTCACATGTTTGCTATCAGAACCTTCAGTGTGTTCTACTAGTTCGCATATTTATTCCACTGAATCACAAAATTCGATCCAAATCGTTGAGGAAATTTTTGTAAATAGAGAGTCGAAAATCAAACACCAAATTTCTGCAATGCAATTCGATTATTTTGAACACTTTCGAACGAGCGTTTGTGCGTTTGTGATGAATGCGCATATTCTATTGCGTTGGAAAATCGCACGACATCACTTCAACTTCACATCAAAAAATTGGTCAGATATATTAATAAATTGACAGATTGATTCTTATTAAGATTCACTTTCGTTTGCCAAATATATTGCAGTGATGCACATTTCCTCCAATATCAGGCAGGCGAATCTGGGTAGTAGTCAGTGTCTTTTGCATACGATTTATGTCTGGTGTTGGTAACTGATAACTGGCGTAAATGTCGAGCATATTGAACATAAAGCAATATTATAGAAGTGAAAACAAAATCCTTCCGAAAAATTGCATCAAAAAAAGAAGAAATGGACTAACAGCGACGAGTGGTTCATCGATCATACGACTCAGATACTTCTTTTGAATCTCATCACTACCAGCGATTATGAGGGGTGTTTCAGCAAGATCACTCGCTAACAATATCGTACCAACTGCCGTGCATCCGTAACCTAGTTCCTCGGCTATCAGCGTATCTGATATCAAATCCAACCCGAGGCCACCTCAACAGTTCATAATTGCATTTTATTGAACGTTCCACCTTCAGTTGATCATAAAATGTATGTAAAAACTGCAATACCTAGTTATATTGAATTGAGATTTATGCTCAAACTTATCTTTGAATGTATTCGCCACCATTATGCTTAGGTGCGTTTGAAAAGTAATTATATCGATCGTAATAATAATTTTATTAGCGGTTTCATGAGAAAACAGTTGAAGCAAGTCTGATAAGTGGCGTTAATCGTTGCACAGACATAACTGAATAGTATAAGCAAGTGAAAACATAGAAGCATTACCGTATTTGGTGGGTATCTGAACATTGGCGATACCGTTTGCATGTGCCTTTTTTATAATTTCCCACGGAAATTCACCAGTTTTATCATATTTGCCGGCAACAGGTATCACTTCGTCATGGACGAATTTTTTAATCATATCCCGAAGTTGTCTCTGTTCGTCAGAGAATTCTAAACTGTTTAGAGTATTATTGTCAGTAAAATGAAAAGATGAAATTTGTTTGAATGATTCGTTCAGGTTTGAACTGCATGATCAGTTATCGTCCCTAATGCTTTTCAGAATGAAAGCCGTGTGTAGGGATGACAAAGCGAAACGTTTTTCACCACGATTGGACTAGTTACGGTGAAAATTGCTTACAGGTAAAGAATGCACAATTTTTTCAGCATGCTACTGAAAAGAATACCAGCTCTAGTTCATTACGTAAAAGGTATGCCGGAATAATGTGAATTGTTGTCCTCAGTGTACTGAAAGTTTGAAAAATCGTAACAATTTCTACGCTTACAACTGATAGCTTTCAAATTTCGGCAAACACTGAATTCATTGAGTATTTCATTTCATCTTAAGGTTAATGTCTTATCACATGGAATTTTCAAGCTTCCATCTCGTGGTGCACGAAACGTTTGATATGAGTTTAAGATTTTTGGAAATACTGAATGAATTGCAACAACTATTTGAATAGGACACACCAAAATTCATTTCCATCGATGTATCCGACGATAAAAATCTTAGCTGAGGTAAAATCACTGAACGGATGATGTTACGCGATAACATTGTTGATCTCAGCATACTTGTCGATATACTGCAACACAAATGATTTCATAATTCTACCAGACCTCGTTCCTTATACGGCACAAAAGAGCAATTCCATCATAAACAACAAAAGCGTTGTTTTGACAAACACAAACATCTCTCTTCTTACGTTCAAACAGCATTCGCGATAAAAACTGCTAAATTGATAATTTCCGTATAAAAATGTTATCACTTATCAGTCATTGCAACGACGTAAATGTTCAGTCGTCTTATCAGGCATACTTCAGTTATTCAGTTATTCATATTGACAAGAGAAAAACGAGAGAACATCTGCAATCACATCATTCTAGTGGAAGAATCATAAAAAAACAAAGTTGTGAAAATTCTCTCGGAAATCATCGTGATCATTTTAGTTTTCACTGCTTTGACAAATTACATAGTATTGCCGTTGTCCATTTGCTTATTTTAGTTTGTATGTTATTCATGAAAAGAATGCAATTTTGCAGGACGATGTGGAAGAATTAAGAATTACAAACAATATGGCCTACTAACAGCTGATGGAATGGTTGTAACAGAAGAGCGTATTAATGTTAGCATAATAAATAATGCACAAGCACATCGCCTCAAATAGTTCATAAAGGCTCGCTCTTATTATAATATGAAATGCATAATGCAAATTCGTGAGTGCTCATCGAAGAAAAGTTTTAAGTTTGAATGGTTTAACGACGTTGAATACAATTGGATTTGGAAATCACTTGAGGTTAGACGAGAATTCATATAAAATCTTGACTGCAGTTGGGTTACACACAAAGCAACTACGTGGAAGTGGAATCAATTCACTGATGGGATCACGACGAGCGCAGTTAAAGTGATCTGCGAGTGTGCAGCGATCAAATATCATGAGACAATGCCAAAACAATCCAAATGCTCATTTATATTGATATTATGTCAACTGCAATCAGTTGTATGTACTTTGACCCAGTGATGTGTAATCAGTGATCTTGTAAAACCATCGATTATTATCGTTCTTCATAT